CACAATGGGCACGTGCCTTTGGCTCAGTGGCTAATCCACAACTGGGAGGAGGTAGGGTCAATGAGCATTTATGGCCTGCTGTACAATTGACCTATTCAGATATGGCCCTCAGGCCAAAAAGGTTGTGCATCCCAGTTTAGATCATTTTCATTAAAGTGCTACAGCAGTGCAGCTGTATTGATGCAGCATTTTAAGTGTAGACTTGTCCTTAGTCCTCTGTCCTCCTCTCCCAGGAAATTGATAGACTCTTCTTCTGAAAATTACCTTTATTTACTTACTTGCTTACAATTATGTTTTCTTTAATTGATCTTTCTCATTGACATTTACATTCTAGTGTTTTAAGTAGATCAGAGCTTAGTTTTCTATAAAGTGGACTAGTATAAAGTTTAACCAAGATAGCTTTAAAAAAAAAAAATGTTGAATCTCTCTGGTCCTTCAACATCTGTGGTCTGGCATGTTTTTAGTTAGCTGGATATCCACTTATCGTGGGTATGGCCACATTTCTTGAGGTCCCATAAAGGTTGTTTACAGCCATCAGTTATGCCTCTGTGTCTCTGTTGTTTTAGCTCTCATTTAGCCGTGACTTGTCTTTTTAAAAGCCCACTGAGCAGTAAAAGTGTTGGTAATGATCTAGACCAGTGTTTCCCAATTTTATTTGGCCACAGAACCCTTTTCAGCTTAAAAGAATTGTAAGGAACCCCTAGGGTTGCCAGAGTAAAATTTGTCAAGCAAAAAATCCCCAAAAACCCTACCAGAATTTGTTACGCAAAGAAAAAAAACGCAAAATAGACTCTCTTTAAGAGGGGGCAGGGGAGTGCCATGTTCTTACGAAACCCTGGGGTTCCGCAGAGCACCAGTTGGGAAACACTGATCTAGACAATATTGACCTCCCGTGGTCCAGCAATTCTCTGGTTCGGTGCCGGTCAGGTCCCAAAGATGCAGGTTAGAGAGATTCGACCTGTAACAGCATTGTTTCCAAGAGATGAAATTATCTAAGCTGATAGTTTGATGTACTTTAGTTTCTTTGTACAAGCAGCATTTTGAAGTCCATGTATGCTTCATCAAATTGCAGCAGTGCAGTCTGATGTATTGGTGAAAGCAGTTTTGGAGATGGAGGAGATAAAGTTTAACAGTACTCCAGGGTAGGAGCTTTTTGTGTTCCTTTATTGTGGACAAGGTAGGTTTGTAAACCTTCCCCTTCACCCCGGCAAGATTGTTTGATACTGTGTGCTGAGTTATCTCTGGTTCAGAAAGCTGTCTCCATGTTATGGAGGATCAGTTTCTTGCTGACAGCTGTGTAGTGCCAGATTAGCCCAAGATATGATACACCCCTGTGGGGATAGGAGAGCTTGTCTTTCCTAATCAGTACCAGAGTAATATGTAGGCCTGATGTGATTACTTTCACAGAGCCTGTTTGGTTTCAGGAAAAAGGTAGCAAAGCTCCAAGTTGTGCCAGTAGGTGGAACAATTTTTGATTTCTTGTTGATTTGTTAGGGAGAAACTAGGATAATCCATTATTGAAAAGAATATAAAGGAAATAATTCTCTGCCCCCCACACAGATAATACCTTGGTGTTGAAATCAAGGGGAGACCTTGAGTCTTACGTTTTTCTGAAGATGACAGCCATGAACTCAAAGTACAAATGATTATGTACTGGCTCCTATGTCATGTTACAAAAGAGGACATCTCATGTTGCAAAAGCTCTTTTGAAGAATCTTTAGTATGAAATGAGCATTTAGTAAGTTAAATGTATATTCTTCTTGAACTCAGGCAGCTTATACTTCTGGTATTTTGGTGTGCTGTCTTTTTGATAAGCTTCAAACTGTTTGTTCCAAGCTATTGTGCAATTTCTAGATACAGTCTCTGGATTTTCTGTGTCTTGTCACATTTCACCCTTTGGGCATTTTTTCATTTTATTAGACTATTTCTCAGGATCCACTCCCTGTTGTTACCTCATTCATGCCTAAATTCTTCCGTATCAGATTGTATCAGTTGCATGTGTCAGGATATTATAATGGCACTAGCCAACCTAAAATATGACCTTTGGTCCCCTTTACATTTTATAGTTTAACTTACATTTTGGTGAAGAGAAATTGTTTTACTAGTTAAGTTTTTGTTCTTCAACGCTTAAGTTACATGCACCCCTTAAACAAATGTTCATTTTCAAGATATGCTTAGTATTCTGTCTTTGTTTAAAGTTACTGTATATTATCAAATGAATGAAGGGGCACTCCAGTATTCAAAATCTCATTCTGGCTGTCTTGTCTAATCAGATGTTAGGAGGCTTGAGATTTTCAGTTCTATAAGATCAGTTACTTCACAACTAATGATGCTATGTAGCCCTTAATTCACTTTAGTCAGTATAATTAATTATTGATAAATGCCCATTTGAAGTTTGGGTGAGCTTGGCATTAATACATTGCATATATTAGAGAAATTAAAGTTCGTCCCCAAAACCTGTAATTTTGAAGCAGTGCCATTAATGTGTCTGACTTTAGTTGGATTATAATGGATTCACAGTTTCTATTATTCAATCTTTGCTTTTTTTTTCCTTCTCAAACTCAGTAGTTGAATTCTACAAGATGGCTAAAGCTGCATCCGTATGTTGTGATCTCATGGGCTGGATGGGTCTAGGTCAGTACTTAGGAGACCTTCAAGGAACAGTCTCCTTTTGATTCAACAGGTAATACTTTGTTCTGTTTAGTGTTGAACAAATGGCATGGTGTGCTGTGTTCTGGATTAGGGCACACTACATTATTGTCGAATGAAAATTTAGGATTGGATAGTGGAAGTCAATTTTGTAACATGCATTCATTTTTTCTCCAGCCAGGAATAAACCTGGGAGTTCTTTGTGATATTTTAAATCAGACTTGATACTGTGAACTAGCTGTTGAGTGTTTCCAAAAAATCATATGATTGCTTTCAAGAATGGGCCTATAAAAACAGGACACCCCAGGACAGTTGTGCCGTATGCCTTTCCCAAAGTTGTATATGTATTTTGGCTCCTTATTAAATCCTCCTGGCTAATTGGTCTAGAGCAAAACTCTAACAATGTCCTACAAATGTATTTATACATTTTTCACTTCCATGTATTTATACAAACAATTCTGAGTATACCATAACTTCGCTATTTCCTTGTGCAGTCCTGTGATACAGAATGTGTGTTTTCAATGTTGTCTGTCTTAGCTGTGCCGGAGTTTCCTCTGGGAGAGGCAGCCCTTTGGTGTTAAAACCTCCATGGGATACAGACTGGCATTACTTAGTCTGTTGCCTTTAGTGTATAAAATGCATCTTGCTTAGTCACCTCATCACCATACAAGTCATCTGTCTTTGTTCAGTGAAGCTTTGTGTAATATTTGTTAATACGGTAATTCATAAGGCTGCATCTGCTCAAGCCTTTCTCACCATCTTTACTTCCTGAAAAATTTTGTGCAGGAATGAACTGTAGTTATTGAAAGTGATGCCATTTCAATGGCAGTTGAACACCTACCTCCCTTAAATTCTTTGATGTTACTTACATAAAGTAGCTGCAGTAAACTAACATGTTATGCATTCCCTGTGGCTTTTATTGTTGTGAACAGGAAAATCCTTACTCAGCTCAATTTGAATGTAACTATGCTGAGAATTTAGCATGATCTCAGATTCAGTTAGCATTAGTGGGCACTATATAAAAAAGAAGCACCCATGATAATTTCCCCCCATAAATATATTCTGAACACCAGAGAAGTGCTGTCAAATTCTAAAATCCCATGGTCTTCTTTCCTACAACTCCATCAACATACTGCAGCAGGAAAGTAAAACAGTAAGATCAGAAAGACAGCAACTTCCCTCTTCTTCTCTAACTCCCTCCTCCTCCCTCCCTGTGCCCCTCTGGGAACCAGGATGTCTGGCAACCCTGCACCTAGAGGCAGATCACTGTAGCTGTAGGTTTCTTTTCAGAGCAATTTGTACTGCTGAAAAGGATTCTACTGAAAAGCCGAGCTGCGGTGTGCACTAAATCTTTATTGGTATAGGCTGGTCTTCGCTATGAAGTCTCCTGCATTAACATCACAGTATGATGCTCACCACAGAGCTATTCGCACAGAGGTAAGGAGGAAAAGTCCTGGACCAAAGGAAGCTAGAGGAAGAAAACTGAGGGAGGCTGCAATGAAATGCTATTCAATCCAAAACTGCCAGGAGAGAGACATGGTAAGTTGGAGCAGGCTCCCCACACACTTGAAATATAACATTGAAATAATGGTGACTAGTCTCATTGTATTTATCATTGATTGGTCTACAGCTTTCTCTGACCAGTTCTTATTTCCTGGTCTGCAGTGGTGCTTTTGGAACTGGATTTCCAGCACTACCTTTTATCTAAAGTGGGTTTGACATCTTACCATTGTTATGTTGTGCTTAATTATTCTGCTGCTAGAATAGATCAGCTCTCACTCTTGTCAGTGTGGTTTAAAACACTAATCTTAATAAAAAGTACTTGGGAACTAGGAAAAAGAAAATTAGATCAAGTCATTCCTTTTTAAGGGCAGCATGTAGCACCCAGTAGAAGAAAAATCTAATAGTGATTTCAAATGCAGTTTTCTTAAAAAAAATAAAATGATTCCACTTTTTAATTTTAGGATTCAGCCCCTTTGTCTCTGCTATTGTAGAATGAGAGTGTTTGAGGGTCCTGATATAAGGCCTGTTGGTAATCTGCAACAGATCAATTATCTCTGATCTGTGTCCTCTCCCTCCCTCCTATCTTCCTCACCTCACATAGTCCTACACTGTGTGATGGTATGGGCTCTTTGCAGCAGGCACTGTGGTACATAGGGGAATAAACACATCTCAGGTTATTTGAACTTTTGATTTAAAGAACTTATTTAGGATTGCAAGCTCATACTGTTAGTTCATTGCACAATTTACAGATGCAAGTCCTATCAGTTCCTAGTGTTGGAAAAATGCTCCGTATAGGAGATTGGATCATGTGAGCAGGGATACTCAACACCCAGCCTGCAGGCCACATGTGGCCCACAACCCATTTGTTTGCGGCCCACAGTGTGGTTTGGGTTTACTCAGGGCTCAATATGCGGCCCGCAGGTAGGAGCCAAAACAAAAAATTAGTCAATTAGGGCTTCTGTTGATATGTGTTTTAGTAATTAAATTCCTGGACTGTCATTGCTCATTAAAAGTGCTGTCATATGAGTGGAAACTGGATAAATATTACGTTATTAATATCCGCAGAACTGACTTAAATGGGGCCTGTGTGTTGTGTAGTCTTGCCTTAATCTTTGTATTCATGTCTGTCCGTGCAAAAGAATCTATTTGCATATATATTTACATGTATATGCAACCACACTTAGGTTGTGGCCCTCGGCATGTGCTGTGAGTATCACTGTGGCACCGGGGCTTGCAAAGTTGAGAAGCTCTGATGGAGAGACTACTTTGTGTGGTGCCTCAAATCATTTTTTATCAGTATATGATCAATCTGTGAATATAACTTATGCCAGGTTTGTGGCCAGGATTTGAAAAATATTCCTTAGAGCAAGAAAAAGTTGAATTGCCATTTCAGTTATTCTCTCATTTACCAGCTAAGTCAGGTTTTTGTCTCCGTGATACCAGCAGTAACTCCTAAAGTAGAACAGGGAGTCTGAGGTGTCAGATGCTACAGGACTATAAACACAGAATCTTGGTCTCAGTTTTTTGGTGTGTTAAACACTTTTCAAGTCATTGTGACTCCACTTTGGCATATTGATACAGTTGGTTAATCATATAACCCCCTCAACTCAACTTGTCCCTGAGAGTCCTTTTCTAAATTGTTTGCTTTTATCCAGTTAATCAGCCTCTGCGTTTTCTTGTTTAATAGCCAAGTGTCAAAAGGGAAAAAAGTACCAGACAATACATAAGTCTAACATCTTGTGTTTCAGCCTCTAATTCTGTTGCAGCTCTTTCTACTCTTTGTTCTGTGATAGTTTTTCAGTTACTTAAGCATAGGTTTAATACAATAATAGTAATCAAATTGGTGGTAGTAAGCAGTAACAGAAATGACAGGGAAAGGCATTCAGCACGACTAAAATGGAATTCTTGGAGGGGATTAAGGCAGTTTTGTGAAAGTTGAAAAATGAATCACTGAAGTCAGAGATTCTTGGTTTGGTTTGGCAACAATGGGAATCTTATGCTGGTTTTTAAAGGAACCATCTCAGAATGCAATGAGTTGGGAAAAGCTGCAGGAATGTGTGTTCCAAATGGATGAAGAAGATTCCCCACAAAACTGGAAAAGCAGATAAAGGAGATCTAGATTTCTATAGCGAGAGACTTCTATGAATGTACTACATCTTATCAGGAAGAGTTTGTGTGTCATCCTGCCTCTAATGCGAATGAGAAGAGAAGAATAAAGGAAAGGAAATCTACTTGTCCCGGATTGCCTTGCGTGTAATTGGCTGTAGGCACTGAACCTAGGATATTGTATGCTTTGTAAATACTTACCCTTTTGGGGAGGTCATACATTTGAAAATGTCTCTTAAAATTATTTCATTTTTTTCTTTAGTGAATTTAGAATCAAAGTTGCCAGTTTATAAATGATTTTTTCCCCCTAATCTTTAACATGAAAGCTCCCCTGGGATCTGAAGGTAGAGCTGGATTTGGTGGCGCACACATTACCAGGAATTACGAAGTTGGAACAAAATGATTATATGTGAACTAGAATAGAATCCAGCACCCCCATAGCTGTACTGCTTTGCAGCTGTTTGAGTGATAAAGCTATGCCTCAAAATACCCATAGGGAGCTGATCTATTAATCTGTACTGCCTGGGTCCTTTGCTGATCATACAGCACTTTTAAATATTAATTCCTTTTATACATCTTCCATGATTTCACACTGAATAGTTTCAATATAGCCAAGCTTAAAGATGTTTAGTAATTCTCACATTCTGATTAGCAGCATAAATTAATAATCAGTGGAACTCAAATGAGCAGGTGGTCTTTGTTAGATAACCTGTGTGCATCTTTCTCACAGTAGTATTAAGGTCATTATACCTCCATGAATTTCCTTTTGATTATTTCAGGTAATTTGTTACTATTAACACAGAAGGTTACAAGGAGGCCTACTGTAGTGAAGGGCAAAGTTGAGTGAGGATCCTGGTTTTTTTTAATTCTTCATCTTCTCTACTGTTCACAAATGGACCGAAAATATGGAGTTATGGACATTGAAGGGGAGGGAAATGGGAGCAAAGAAAAATAAATTCTTAAATACAGTTTAAACAGAGTTGCACGTAATAGTAGACAGCTATTTATCGTAAATACTGAAATAAGAAAAGTAAGGTGGGTTATTGCTACAGGTTGGACCTCCCTGGTCCAGCACCCTTTGGACCTGATTAGTCCTGAGCCAGGGAATTTGCTGCACTAGGCAAAGTTCCTTGACATATCCCCTCAGCCCCCAACCCTCAGCACTGCCAGTTCCAGGGCCTCCATTAGCCCCCAGTCCTGGTTGGCCCTGCTGTAGCTGCCCCAGAAGCTGCCAGGCACCAGAAGCTTGCACTGCTATGAGCCCCAGCCATGGGCTACCAGAGCTGTTGCTAGCTCCGGCCCCAGTCCTGGTCCCTCTTTCATGGTCTGGCTCTGGTCCCAGTCCAGTTGCCACAGGCTCCCAGGAGCTGGTGGAGGCTGCCAGTTTTGGGAGGTGCAACCTGTATAATGTTCCTCATGGGGGTATCCTCCATTTACACACTGGTCTTTTGAAGCTTACCCAAAGATATGAATAGCTGAGAGAGACTGGAAAGGAAAACTTCACATAGTTCTCAAAAATTCCACCAGTGATGCAGAGGAGTGGCTAGGGAGTGAGTTATGTATAACCATTATATTTTATATATTAACTATTAACAGGAAAAAGAATCCCACTTTGTCAAGTACTACCTTGTCTCAAAAGTGCGAGACACATTTCAAATTACTAAGAATCAACAGTCAATAATTTCTTTTGCTTCCTTACTGAGCAAACCTGATTTCTAGTTTAAACCACATCTGTTTCAAGGTCTAATTGAAACATCAGCCTTGATGATATTTCAGCAGAGGCTTCTTACGCAGTACTTAGTGGTATAAACCTTTTATTCCCACTAATGTCATTATTGAATAATTAGCAGTCAGTATTTATATTACATTTATAAAAAAAAAAGACAAGTAAATTATGCTGGATTTTATGCATTATACCAGAGAAAAGTGGCTTTCAATTATGTAAGTGGGATCAGTGGATATTTTGATTGAAACTTCATTTGTCAATATAGAAATTAGTTTTTTTACAGCATAAGAAATCCCCTATGGAATTAAGCACCAGACTAACTTTTAAGAGTGCATTTTAACATACCATTTTTTACTCTCCTGGGTAAGGCTTAAGTATGCAATTTTTCTTATGCACTCTTAGTTTATGATTAAGCTTTTCAACTAATCAAAGAAGGCATTCCCATTAATAGCTATGAAAACTCTTAAGGAGCAAGTTATTATTTGTAGATTTGAGTTGTCTGTTTTTGAGCCAAGCAGAGTTGTTAAGGGGTTAAAATAGGGACTGGAAGTCAGGACTCCTGGGGATTTAAATCCCCGTTTCATTGACTATGCCCAATAAACTACTTTACATGGCTCCGTCTAGACGTTCCCCCTGGATTCCATCCTTTAATATGCCACTAACTAGCAAGAACTGAAAGCTTTGAGGAAATATGCTAATGAGTTCTGGATAAGCCTATGCCACAGTATACCATCTGCAGCATATGCTGGAAATGGAAAATCATGTATGATGGTATTAAGAGCTCTTGGCCCAATCATATCCAAAGTAGCTCCTATCATATCTAAAGATGGTCACATAATGAGGAACACTTCACAGATGATGGCATGTTGGGTAGAACATTATTTAAGAACCTAAGAACGGCCATCTTGGATCAGATCAAAGGTCCATTTAGCCCAATATCCTTTCTTCCAACAGTGACCAATGCCAGATGCCCCAGAGGAAGTGAACGGAACAGATAATCATAATATGATCCCTCTCCCATAATTCATTTCCAGCTTCTGACAAACAGAGGCCAGGGACACCATTCCTATCCATCCTGACCTAACCTCCATGAATTTATCTAGTTCTCTGTAAAAGCCTGTTAAAGTGCTGGTCTTCACAACATCCTCTGTCAAAGAGTTCCACAGGTTGATTGTGCACTGCGTGAAGAACTTCCTTAAGTTTA